ATATATATATATACCGCAAATAACATCAAATAGCCTTTCGTAGCGGCTGGGAGTATTGCCAAGCTCTTTTGAGACAGACTGGTAACTTGGATTCGCTCCCAGGAGCCGGGCAAAAACGAAACAACTGATCAGCTACTAGGAACAAGAAGCTACTCAGAACACAAGGCATTGCTACTGGGAGCGATCGGACGCTACGAACGGAGCTCCTGGCCTTACTACTAGGAGCAAGAGGACGCTACGAACGGAGCCAGAAGGGGATTCACCAATGGACATAAACATCGCCCTGGAGAAAAAACCAGGCTATGGGTAACACCAGGCAGAAGGTGAGGGCATCCTGACCAACTATACAGGATCAAAGAGAGAAGGGCATCTATACGCTGTCCATTTGCCTTTCGCTAAATCAACAGAACCTGAAGCAGGATCCAACAAAGGCAGCCTAGACCATCTGTGTGATTGGAAGACGTGGCCCCACTCATTTACACTACCTGAACCCGACTTTAAGCACCCCGACTTGAACATGGGACATGACCCCATAAAAAATATGTGATGTGTGATATATCAATTTTCTAAGGTACCAACTGAAGCTCGTATTTCTGACGCTACAAGTACTATCAAGTATTAGTCTACTACCTATTCTTTATACATGAATGGTGCAAATCCCTCAGGGTCCTGGCCACAGCCACCGCGCCACGTCACGTGGCCGTGCCAGAATCCAGACCCCCAAAAGGTCCCGACGACCTCTGGACCCGGTGACTTCGGTACCTTCGATGGGATGGGACATGCGTCGCTCCTGGTAGCGATGCCCTTTATTACTAGTACTTCCTATAGTAGTAAGGCCACGAGATACTAGTACCGTTCAAAGGCGGTCGACTCCAGGCTGCGAAGAGGAAAAGGGTCCGCAGAGGATCGGGCGAGCTTTGGAAGTCCCTTTCGCTGCCCGAGGAGCACAGTCGAGGATAAACCACGTGCTGAGGTAGTTGATGGCGATCTTCTTGTATTTCTGAGACGAGCTGAGCTCGATGTCCGGAACTAGACGGACTAGAAGGCCGAGGTGGTAATTGTTCACGTGGGGAATACATGTCCTTCCCATCAATCAACCAACTACGGCCGTTGTTAAGGGTCAAAGGATGTAAAAAGATGTAAAAGGCATCGCCCGCTCGTGCAGGTTAGTTGCCCCTGTGGGCTGTTGGTTTTCACCGTCAACTGTGAGGTGTACAGTCGATCGGATCAACAAAACAAACGATGCCCAAACTCGACCTGTCTGAGACAATTTGCCCATCAGTTGGAGTGGTTGAAAAGGGGTCAATGCAGTATACCTAGATCTTCAAAAGGCACTCATTTTGGCCTGATGCAGTTCAGTGAAAAAGGCGCCGTAATTTAAACAAAAGCCGTTTTAGGGGTTGCAAACAGGTGCTCAAAATCCAGGGGCAAAGATTGCGTTTTGGACGCCTAAAGACGCCGTGTTGAAGCCTCAAAACGTCGTTTCTTTTTGGTTTCTGCCGGCTGGTGACAACAAAACACACTGGTTTTGTTCTTTTTAAGACGCCGTATACTGGCATTTGCTCTTGAAAAGGCCATTTTGCGCCGTCTCGAAGATCCAGGTTTCTATTTTTTCCTGGAGTGTCTGGGATATGATATGAATCAACACACTGAAAGCAATCATTCACAATCCAATGAACAAAACGTGAACAAACATGCCGTGCACTGACTGACCAGAATCTCAAACCTTTCTGGATATGATTGGACATGAACAATTGGAGACAACTATAGTCTGAGATTCAAGCCACGATAGTCTAATAGTAGGTGACCATGACAGCAAATAATGACAACACCAAGAACCAACACCTGACCGTCAAAAGGAATGCAAATCAATATAAGTTATTCATTTGCTCTAAATGGCTTCGGGAAGACAGGCGCTTGATTGGTTTGGAACAATGATGTCCCTCCTTGGAAATAAGAGAGCTGGGTCGAGTTGAGTTGGTACCAATATATACCGTATACCTATTGCTTGCTCAGCTCGAATTATCCTCTCTATAGGCCTTCGAGGCTTCAAGCCAGAGATGAAAACAGCAAAGGCTCCAAGATCAGCTGGCCGTTGTGGTAGTAGCCCGTGCCAAAGCTGAAGACCATGTCCAAGGTCCAAAAGACCTCGGTTTGACCATGGAAAAGCGGCGACATCTGGGCAAGAAAGAAGGTCTGGGCTGGGCGGATGGGTGCGAAATGGGTGAGTCATGACCCCAGCAAACCCGAACACAGACCATCAGGTGCGTGCTTTAGTGCTTCTCGGTCGGTCATAGACCTCCTGGCCCGAGCTCCGTTGAGGAAGTGGGTGCCAGAAAATTCCAACCACCGAACCTGAGGATGGGATCCAGCCGCTTGTCAGGTAAAGTGAGGAAGGAGACACTGTTATGTAGGTGCCAGCCAGTCAGGTCCAGTCGTACCGAACCTGAGAAGGTTTCCACTGGATCCCTAGGGTTTGTAGCGTTGCTAGCATTCAGGTCACCCTGTGAATTGCCAGTCGGTGCAAGATCGAAAGCCTTCATAGCATCCGTATGCTTCAGTCATGTAGAATGTTCGACATCAAGAATCTTTCCAATGGTTTTCTTGGTATACCAAGAGAGGTTGAGAGCACGGATAGGAGCCACCTGTGGGCCATTACTATGGGCTGCAAGAAGTGCAAGAAAGTCAGCCAAATGTACCAACCATCTCTTGACTCATAGCTACTAGGAGTCTAGGAGCAAAGAAGCTACTAGGGGCTCCTGGCCTTACTACTCACGGGACTTGCGGTCGCTGTCAATCGCGCGCTTCCTACGGTCCTTCTCCGTATTGGAGGGTACCGAGGAGTGTGGTACATATCTTCTTGTAAGACGTGGTGAAAAAGGGTGTGACTATACAAAGCACTACGATGAACCAATTATGAATTGCAAAGGAATAATGATGTGGGCATCTAATTAGGTGCTGGAGGCACCGTGACATCATCGAGATCTCCTCCCCTATGCCATGCTTCACGAAGCTTGCGACGATAGAGGAAACGCTGGCGGAAGGTAAGAGGGATGGCTGGAGGAGCTGCGAAAGTTGGTGACGCATGTCGCATCGGTATCAAGCCATCTGGATGAAATGGTGGTTTACACTGGAGGTCTTCAACATATTGTGAAATGGTGCGTTGAACGAGATCGGAGTTGGGGAACTCAGGCCGCAGAGGCATACCCCCTGTAAATGATTTGCCCCAACCGATTTGTGTAAGACTGATTGAGCCAGTCTTGGTGAATTTTGGCAGGAGGGGGTTATCAGAATAACCCTGGAGATAAAGTACAATAGTTCGAAAAGCTTCGGCTTGCTCTCGGAGTGATCTCTTAATGGTAGGCAGGGCTAAGACTCTGGGGTCCTGCCAATGGACTGGTTGGGTGCGGTCTTCATGATCGAGGCGCATCCAAGTCGGGAATTGAAGACCTGTATTAATAACGAAAGCGATAGTGAGTTCTAACCATGTGATCCCGGCGGTGATAACTGGATCTGTGTAACTGAGAGTGGGATCAGGCCAGTGTAGGGCGGCACAGAATTGAAGAACCAGGTCAGCATATTGATTGCCCCAGACACAAGCAGTAATAAAGGCAGGATGAATGGATGGCTGAAAAATTTGAGCTGAGGTCTGAACTGTATATACTGCTCGAGATCGATTATATTACCCCAATCGAGGGACGCATCGTGTGACATGTCTGTCCGTGCAGTAAGTGTCTTTGTTTGCTTGGCTTGGGAATGACACAAATTAAGGTCCGCAAGATAGGCAAAGATACATTTGGTTTGGCGTAATTGGTTCTGATGCCAAATTTCTGCCTGTTGAAAGAGAGCATCAATACGTGTGTGGTCAGTTTGACGGGCTCGGACTGCTGCATGGTCTGCCCACATATTGCCAAGAACATCGTTTCGTGCTGGACCTGGCGGCACATCATTGGGATCTTGGTGGGAACGAACCTTTCGGAGAGTAAAGCGCAAGGGATCCCAACAGTCAGCGAGAATTCGAAGAAGGTCTGCATTCGCAAATTTATGCCAGGATGGTGGTCGAGCAGCCTGGGAAATGCGTGCTATGGTATGAATGGCGTATTGCGAATCGGTAGTAATGGTGAGTCGATGTGGCCAATGTTGTTTCTGGATGTGTTGCACAATCCAAGTGATGGCAGCGAGCTCGGCTCTGGCAATAGTTTGTGGTCCCTGTACATGTTGAATCTTGATAGTGAGATATGATGTACGAAATGTGTCTGGACAGAACTGGATAAGTGACCATGCTGCACGACGTGTCCCTGGATGCGTGGGTGTGTCTGCTGATCCATCCGTATAGAAGTAAAGAGTATCCCCACAGAGGTAGATTGGAGTATGTCCAGTATCCTGCCCTCGAAATCCAAGGAGTTGGCGGAGTATAGTAAAGTCAGGGAAAGAGTGCGGAAGTGGAAACCATAGCTTCTGTTGGTTGCGGGTGAGGTAGATAATGGCCTGTGGGTGGCGTTGACGAACGTCAGCAAAAGTTGGGCATTCTAGTTGTTGGTGTGCATGTGTATCTGGTTGGCCGCAATGTGGGCACTGGATGTCCACTGTAGAGGTCCATTGTGCTTTAACGGCTCCTACTTGATATCCGCCAGTGAGATTATACGCAATTTGACGAATTGCGGTGGGGGACATAGATCGTAATGCTCGAGACAAGATGGTATAATCAAAAGGCACTGAGGGGACCCCTTTACGATGGCAAATTTCTCGATTAATGAAGTATGCCCAAGATTGGCGGAGTGTACATCGAATATATCGTAGGGAGTCGTATTGCAGGGATACAGATAGATAACCGTCAAGGGTGAGGGTACCATCGGAAGTCAAAGACCATCCAACAAGCTGCAGGTATCTAGCCAAGGCTCCAGCCGGGCCAATTGGATTCCCTTGATGACTGATTACTGAATTCACGAAATCTTTTGCCAGATCCGGACTAGTATGATAGAGTCGACGCACAAAGGATAATCCTGTGGCAATAACATAGAGAAGCGGATCTTGCAGTTGGGAACTAAATAGGTGTACCGCGAGCCAGCTGGATATCTGAGTTTCTGGACCTACCAAAGCAATAGTGGCCTCACGGCGAAGCGTTCGAAAATGCTTGTCACCAATAATTTGATTTTCGGCTCCTTTATGTAACTAGTATACATATATACATCAGTAAATATTTTACTTTGCAAGTAGCATTCATGTTTTATTCAACCTTTACACACAGAAATAGCTCTGTACAGTGCTCTCAACTTAGATTCCATAGGATTCCACCAAATCTGCTAATGTGTCCCTTGCTAGGACTGACTGCTGCAGCCCGTGCTCACGGAGCATCGTGCGATCCGGCTTGAGATTGATCACTAGTGCGTGATTCGCTACCGCGGCGCATGCCGGGCAGTTTGCTGTTGAGGCAAGGTCTGCGATAGTCTGGCCTTACTACTAGGAACCATCTCCTGACTCCCGATCTTCTTTCTTTCGCTCAAAAGAAAGGTATTCTCCCGACGTTCAACCTCTTCATGTTGAGTGAAATGCGCCAATCGCCCCAGAAAGGGTGACATGAAGGTGATCCAGGGTATACTTCCTGGAAATTACACTTCAGCGAAATGAGCCGGTTTCTCCCCAACGTGTACGAAGATGGCTGATCCAAGGCACCAAAGCAGTCCAGTCCATGATGTCCTGCAAAATGACCCTGGCAGCACGCGGCGTGCGCGCGAAGACTCGCGTGGCGCGAAGACTCGCGTGGCGCCCGTGGCGGCGAGAACCAAGTTTCCCATAGACTGTTGATGAAAAGCACCCACCGGGAGTTTTTCTCAAGCCAGGGAACCCAAAGGTGCATGTGTTTTTTTGTTCAAACACGTTCGCACAAAAGATCCGTGCCTCCGGCCTTTTTTGTCAAATGGACAAATTTGCTGGAATTCCTCCCAATATTGGGTTTGATCGGGTTTTATCAATATAGTCTATATATAGTTGATTGGGTTTTTGTCAATAAAATGTTGATAAAGTTTGGGTTTCATATGGGTACGCTTTTGTACGGTATTGTTTTTTTTGTCCCATATCATTAATTAAAATGTCCATATGATAAATTCTGTCCAAAGACGGCCATACGCCTTTGCAGGAGGGTGCTATCCACGGAGGTCGTCGGGGCGCCCGAACGTCACATCCGCCGAATGGGACAAGTCGCACCACCCAGACCCCTGGTATTGTAAAACCGATTCTCTCTCAGGGACCAAAGAGCTTGGGAGGCGATCGGACACGAACCGAACGTAGATCCTGGCCGAATGCTACTTACTCGTAGCATTCGAATGCGACGTTCGTAGCTTCTTGGGCATCGCGACTCGAACGGAGCATCCAAACGGTCTGAGAAGCCTGGAACCCGCCCGGTCGCCCGGTCTCTTCATTGCAGGGGCCATGGGCCCAGGAGCTACGTTCGCAGCGATGCCCAAGAAGCTACGAACGTAGCTTCTAGGACACTAGTAGCGATGCCAGGAGCTCCTAGTAGCGATGCCCGTGCGGATAGATTTAGATATAGAAATAATATGAAATAATTTGCTTTCAGTGATCCTACCCGGCTGCAGAGCGTGCCAAGCTTGTAGCACAAGCGTGTGGAATAGTTGATTTGCGGCAGCAACATGCACCTTTGCAGTGAAGAAGATCTGTCGTTACTATCGCTCAGGCTTTGTTGCATGACCCAAGTCGTGACTTAACTCGAACTCAACTGAAGATGACTTTTGGTGCCCCACCCCAACAACCTATAAAACTGGAATCGACCTACAGGAAACTCGTCGAAAACATCGATAACAAACCACTGATCGTCCAGTGCATGGATTCTGTGGACACGAGAAACCTCCACATGAGTTTGTAATTGTTTGACGTTCCCGGGCCGGGATGTTTGACTATAGGATATGCTTCGGGGGGATGTCATTCACTTTCCTTTCAAGTTCGCACCAATCTAACTTTCGGCCTCTCAGGCCGAAAGTGATGAGGCTTCCGACTGACCAAGTTATGAGCCTCCAGACTCTTAGAGCTCTTCCGGCCTGTTTTTTTCAATGCCCTAAGGATCATTGGACCCTCCGAACTGGAGGGTTTGGACCCTGCAGGTTCCGCAGGGGTTTGGACCCGAACCAAACCTTCACCGAACTGAGGGTCCTTGATCCTTAGGGTGGAGACTCAGTGCACAGAGGGGCGACGTCAGTTTCAGCACGACGAATGCGACCGGGCGAGACCCCGTGGCGGCCCATGGCGGTTCCGATCCTGGGGAAGTTGAAGGCCTCCAATGGGATAGCGCAAATGTCGTACCTGGACCATCAGGATGAGTGGATTTTTTGGGATGAACACATCAAGTGATGGGAAGACACATGTATGCAATTGTATGCACATTGTATATATGGATTATACATAACCAGGCATGATCCTGCACCTGAAGTTTCAAAAAAGTGATGTTGAACCAAGAAAAAGCAGCCTGGACCTAGATTTCCCGGTGTTTTTTTTTTGTGTGTGGGGTTTTATGTGTACGTGTTGTTTTTGCTAATGGGCTTAAAACCGCGCGTGTAGTGAAACTGATTTTTCATGGTCCTTTGGGGGGGCAAGAACACACGCGCAAACGCACGCATTGGAATATGGAAGATGGGGACACGGACGCGGGGGGTGGGGTTAGGGGGGACGGGGGGTTGGGTGGGGGGCTAGTGATGTTCATGTTGCGTGCGTTATTGTTATTACGAAGCTGGGTCAGAAGCTGTCCCACAGACTGTGATGATGATGCTGGAGGATGAAAAAGCGCGCCTTTTTTTGGCACGAAACCACAGTCTCGTAGCATTTCGATGTCAAAATCGCAACGATTTTTGAGTTGTTTTCGTGTACTACATGCTGCAACAAACCTTTCACATCAATGCAAAACACAGTCATACAACAGACATTCGTCGTCATTGGCCACGTGAAGATTTGACAAATGTGTTCAACCGCACGCGCGGAAACGAGCCCGGCGGGTTGTTTTTGTATAGTTATTGTGTTGCTCATCACGTCTATGTCTTGTCATGTTCAGTAAATGTTGTTGTTTGAATTCCCTTGTTTTATTGATGTTCTTGTAAATTCCTTCTGATTTCTATTGATTCTCTTTCCAATCCTATTGAATTCTGACGATTTCCCTTTACATGATATGTTAATTCCAATTGATTTCCTTTTGAACTCATTTGGAGTTTTCTTGACTTCCTGTTGTTTAGATCCCTTATTATATCTGATCAAATGTTAGCAAAAACACTACCTATTCCACAAAGCGGTTAGCCCAGTGCACGCGAAATCTTGAATAATATAACTCCCTACAATAATGTCTGCCGTGTTTGGCTTTAATACTAACATCCCCTGCAATCACGTCTACGCTGTTCATTTGTCCTTATCATCTTTATGTGTGAATCCCGTTTTTTTTACTTTTTGAACTTCTGTATGGCTTTTATTGACTGCGAATTGACATCCTTTTGCGTGTTTCTTTTTATAAACTATCCTTCAACATCATGCAACATCCTTTTGATTTCTATTGATTACCTGTTAAGTTCTTTACTTAATTTCATGTTCACTCCCTTCTTGAATCTTATCAAAGTACGTATTGCAACAATCTATTCTACAAAGGGGATAGCCTAGGACAAAGAAGCAGCTGACAAGCAGGAAAATGTAGAACAGCTGAAAAGCAGGAAATGTAGATCATGAGGGGTGACCATATATCTAATGATGCCGCCATATATAATGTATGACGTGATGAACAATTGAAAGGTAAAACAAACAGCAAATTTTCAGAAAAAAAAGACTGGCACTTACATATGTATATTAAACAATCCTCTTGCTCAGGAGATGTCTCTAAGAAGCAAACTCATACACCCCTTAAAAAAAAAAACAACAAACCGAAGTGGAGCTCAAACCACCTGTTTTGGCAAAAATGGTCATCCTTTCGGGCTCATGCCATCCACGTAACATCACCATGATTGTTTCAAGGAGTACTACCGGATCTTTGCCTAGGTTGGAGGCCATTTGTTTGTAGGTTGGAGGCCATTGCTAGTTGTCTGGGATTTGAGAAGTTTCCCCGGACCTCGTTTGAATGAATGTTGGTGTTTGCTGCGTTTTTCAGGTCATCCCTGGAGTGGTGTTCGGCGTTTGGTCTTTGCTTCGTTGGTCGTTCGTCACACCCGCGGCGCCGACCCAGGAGATGCCGTGCCAGAAAGAGCCCTGAAGTGTGTTACGGAACATGAGGATTCACACGGGTGTGCAGCTCCAAATTAGGGAGACACCCCCGTTAATGATTCCCGGAAGAAGGTTTGGGGAATCTTTTTTCTTAAACCCGGGAACTTGGAAGGAAAATAGCACCAGTCTACGGTTGGCAGGTCCGATGACTATGCGCACCCACATCGGCCCACTTCTCCATGGAACATATGCCGCCCCAGATCTCGACCGCTGAAATCAGCCCCAACGGTCCCAGGCGATCGGGAATCATCTGGTGCCATGGAGTGTCGGATAGATTCAGAGAGACTTGACAGGTTTGGTTGGAGGAATCGTCCTGGAGCCTCCAAAGTACATTCGAACATAGGACATGACCCTACAAAAACAGGTACTTGTAGTAGTACTTGTACCATATGTTGTACATAGATGTTCCGATTGACTTTGAGACTCCAGGGTGATCGTGACTGCAAGGCTTGCCACCCTTTGGAGGACTTAATTCAGGCCTTGGTGGTTCGGTCTACGGGACTCTTGCCAGGTCCACGCGACCCCTTCTGGGCGGTCACAAAATGAGAAGAAGCCCGGCCACATCCCAGCAAAGGCCTTGGAATCGACCGGCGAACACCGGGTGGGGCGGGTTCATGTGTTTTCAACCAGGGTGGCGAGTTTGGAAGTGGAAGTGGGGCGCATACTCCGTTTTCTTGGGCGGAAGTATGCTGGCTTTCAAGGTGATGATATTCACTTGGAAGATCTATTTTGAAGGTATTCATCTTGGGACCTTCATCCTTGACTTGCATGGCCGGAAAAGGCCCACAAGTCGTTGGAAGACCGTGCAATGATCCATCAGCTGATGGGAGGCCGAACTTCTGCATTTGGGAAGCTGGCATGGCACCCTTTGGCCAATCTGATTCAGTTTCCTGACTGAGACGTGGGGATTCCATCAGAATTGGATCGGGGATTCCATCAGAATTGGATCCCTCAGATCCAGTTGTGGGATTAGTTGTTAGCCTGTTTCCAATATGTTTCCTGACGGGATCTGGTGACTGGAACCCTGTTGGAGTGGATCACGAGGCGTACGACCCAATACTCTCAGGAACCGAAAACGAACGAAAACTCACCTCCGGGTGAGTAAAAACCTCTGATTTCACGAGGCATATGTGGAAAAAAAACAATTCAGCTAAAATCAATCCACCAACTCGAAAACCATCCAACAAACCAGGACCTTCAGAGCGGGATTGATGCACCACCTGAGCCTGAGCCTGAGCCTTGACCATCGGATTGATTTCAGCAGATGGTTCCTGAACATATCGAACGCTTCGAGCTGACCGTTCGAGTGGGTCAGTTGGGTGAGTTCTTAAAGGCTTCCCACCCATCCTTAGGGACCCGTTTTCGTACCTTCTCCTCAGGTTCGGTACGACTGGACCCGACTGGCTGGCACCTACATGTTCGCGGTGTCTCCACACATCACCGTAGCTGAGGTTAGGTACTTACTGGGATCCCTAGGGCATGGGCACCCCCAGATGAGTTCCAGATCCACTCGGGCAGTCCTGAAAAAAAACAGAACATCCTCAAGGGTGGAGACGATGAACCAAGGGATACCGACTTGGAAGTCCGCACGTGCATTGTTGTGTATCCCGGATGGGCTCCAAGTACATTCTGAGAAAGTGCCTCAGTTCGACCTCTGGGAAACTAACCAAAAAAAGAAGACAACAACTCCATCGGTTGGGAGGTACTTTGTTCCAAAAACACATACAAAGCCATTGATGATGTGCCACTCGCATGACTGAGCTTCCGTCGTGAATGCTGAGCTTCGGCCGTAGGGGCTCAGGACTGTCCGCCCTGGATCGTCCATAGCTTGAACTAAGCACCAAACCCAGACCTTCAGTTCGTGACCGTCTTTGAGACTAAAGACCGTCTTTAGGTGACGAATCGTCCCTAAAAACGTCACGTATACTCAGAGACTTTTTCAAGAGGTCACGGACTGAAGGTCCTGGGCCATTGGATTCTGATTGAGTTCATGCCCAAAATGTGACCCATCCATCACTGCCCGCCTTTTTTTTGCCTGGCTTACCCCCTCAATAAGCCTTGATTGATGTGGAAACAGGATGAAACAGGTGAAGCTGGTCTTTGGAGACCCCCAAAGTGCCACCTCCCCCCCCACGCAAAGCGCTGGCAGCCCTGCGGAATTTCCTCCATGCCGAGCCACGGATGGGTGCGGATGGTGGGATGGGACCTCAGATTTCAGAGTCAGGATCGGTTCGGGTCATGTCATGTCTCATTTTCTAAGGTCTTTGAAGGGTCTGTAGCTACCTTCATCTACCTTCGGTATTTGGAGCCCCAAAGAATGAGTTTGGACAAGGATGGGAAGCCAATTCAGAGATGTTGATAGCAATCCCAAACGCTCCATGGGGCTGGCATATCTATCTACATTGGGGTGGCTTGAGGGGTCCATGTAGGCAATTCTTCCAGTCCCATGGAGTGTCTGGGAATGGAATATGATGGCTTTTGAAAGTCCAATTTGGGTGGTTGGCCAAACCACTCCTCTGAGCCATGTGTTTTACAAACCAACAATCCGTTGGGCGCTGGAACAACATATATGTACCAGGACCCTCCTGTCGGGGTGTCCTGGCTCAACTACCCCACACTACCTATAGGCTTTCATTGGGCACCCCTTGGAGGTCCTGGTGTAATATTATCTAAAGTATAGACTGGTTATTCGAGGTGACTGACCCTTGGAGGTCCTGGTATACCCCCTTGGAGGTCGATATTTAGATATCTATCTAAATTGTAATACCCCACTGTATCCCACTGTCAAACCCTCCAGATTCGGACCTGAGAACGGACATGACCCGGGGTCATAAACACACACACCTTGCAGTCGACACGTACTTGTACCCGACTCTTCCAGGTCGTACTTGTACCCTGTGCGCGTAAGCTTTATGAGCCAAAGGGGTTGGAAACCAACACAGCATCTGTCAGTTGCCGTCCTTCATCTGATAGAGATCGAATGACTGCCCAGCCAACCAAAAAGCGGGTTTGCTGAGTTCCTTCCAGTTTCAGCCAGGCCAACTTACACCACTCTAGAGCAACACCACCTGGAAGAGTCTGGAAGTTGCTTTCCAAGCTCAACAAACAACCACAAGCAGCCCCTAAAAGTCCAACAGCCCAGAAAAAAAACATCCAGCACACCCATGTTCGCATGCGATAGCTAATGGGTTCTTACTTCTTAATGACTGGGTGCCTGTGCTCCGTTTTGGTTTTTGCCGCTAATGTGTGCGGCTGCCGCTGCTGCCTTGTCTCCCCACTTGTCTCCTTACATGTCTCCCCAGTTGGTTGCCTGTGTGATTGTCGTTTTGTCTGCATCTGTTGCCTTGTCTCCCCATTCCTCACCTGTCTGCCTCTGCTGCTGCTGCTGCTGCTCCTGCTGCTGCTTCCTTGTCTCCTTACTTGTTCCCTCACTTGTCTCCCCACTTGTTTTGTTTGCCACTGCTACCTTGTCTGGCTTTATTTGGCTACTGAATGAATTTTTGTCCCAGGTGCTTTTGTCTTTAGAGCTAGTTGCTATCTTGGGTCTATGCCAGTGTAATCATTGTATGACCATCTCCAGTAAAATGTCTCAAACGCTCCATGGGACTGGTATACTATCCTATATAACCATTGGCCCATGACCCCCCATGTATGTAACTATTGAAGTCCCATGGATGATTGCTTCATGTGATCCTTCACAGGCGGTTCGTCCAACTTCTCCCAATCATTCCCGATCACGGCGTTCAACGGTTGAGTGGGGTGTGGGTTTTCCTGAAACCGTCGTCGCACTCCGTTTGATGTTCGGTGACGGGCAGGTGATCCAGCTACCTTTTGGGGTAAGGTATATTATGTACAACCTAGATGGTGGCATATGCCAAACTTCGTGCCACAGGTGTTGGACTCTTAGTTCTGTCACAGCCTGGAATGATCATGGAAGTGGAGAACCACCTGTTTGGTATTCGGATGTATTGGTCTTCCAAGGGACCATTTTCCACTTACCCAAACACTCCAACGACTCCAAACACCTCCCCTTGGTCCCTCAAAACGGGATTGGTTTCGAAACCCCAGACTCAAACCCAAACCCATATGAAGAACGGTTCGCGGCTCCGAACCCAAAACGTGACGGAGCTCCGTATGATTCGATGATCAAGCGATGGTCACGTCTGCCGTGGTCACCGTCGTTCCGATGCCGTTCACGGCGACCCATTGACATCCCACGAGGCACGGCACGACCGGCACGGCACGACGCACTGGCGCCCCGACGGCCGTTCTTCAGGATGGCAACTGAGCGGGGGAACACGGATCGATCACTTCCGCTGCGAGGGCAAGTCCGCCAGGGTTTTAAGGTCGGTCCGTTCCGGCTATCGGACGTGGGGATGCACCCCAAAAAGGGAGGGTTACTCTTTTTTTGTGTTTTTAAAGCTATTATACAGATCAAACCAGGGCCCTCTGATGGGGTTCTAACGGGCTGTCTATTAACCAACCCTCAGGTGGAACTTTTAAAGTTGATCATCCCTTTTCAGGGTGAAATTCTTCTGCGAGGTGTCCTTCCTCTGAAGGTGTTGTTCTTTTGGGGGGGCAGAAACTGTTCTCGTTGTTCTCTTCATGTGACCGGTGGTCGACCGTTCCTACACACAGTTTTCAGGACGTTCTCAAACCAGGGTCGACGTCAGACATTAGACTCTTTCATAAAACCACCAGAGATGGAGTGCAAAAACCTCTGGTTTGGCAAACCTCCAGCCAGCCATTTCTCATCGTAGAACACCCCGGCCCGTCACGTGCGTCCGTCGCGACAACGGAAGGAAACACCGCGGTACACACCGCGGTTTGACGTCCCAGTGGCAGCAATTCAGCTGGGAGAGGAGAACCAGGTCCCGTGTCTTGGAGCCTCAGCGTGACTTGGAGTCAACCTCCACGCTTCGCTTTCCCGGCGCAAAGCGCGCGCTGCAACAGCGTAACCGAAGAAGGGAGGTTGAAGCCACTGGTGGTGGGAAACCACGGTGCTTCGGGTGGACACTTTCGGGGCATGTGCCCACTTTCGCGCTCAGGACGCTGGTCCTTGGAGCCTTTACAACGGTGGTCTTCGGTCCACTCGGCAGCGTCGGCCTATGCGTGTGTTCGCCTATCCAGTGCCGACCTGGTCGACCTGGTCGTACCCGTACCTGTCGTGCTTTTTGGCTCGGGTTATGTCATTTTCGACGACTTGGGAGAGTGCTATGTCAACCTCCCTGGAAAGACAGCAATGCCTCTATGTTTTCTTACTGCCCCAGTGAGAACCCCACACGTCGCCTTGGCCGCCCCTTGTTTTTCTAGAAACCAGCCACTGGGAACAGCCAAGTAACCTCGCATCAAGATATTCTCTTGTCTCCTCAGCGGCACGACGGTATCATCGATGAACTGATGGATCCACTGACAGCCTCCTATCGGTTGACGTGTTTTTCATGTAGGCGGTCGTTCTCGGGTCCAGTCTATTGGCTCTCTTCGGTGGGCGAACATCACACCCTATGCTTTTGACGCCGAAAAAAAGGTCGTTGTCAAAGATGTTACACCATCCAGGACTGGACTTTTGGGGGGTCTATAGTCACTCCCGTTGGTCTTCTGGTGCCATGACCCACGGCCATTTATACCTGGAGCCGACGTCGGCCATGTACCTCAGAACATGTGACATGACCCGAAGAAAGATCGGGTACTTAAGGGTGCCCATTGTCTGAGGTACAAACTGAGACTCCAGGTAGATGGATGGTTTTCAGATCCCTAGGGATCCAAGTACCTTCTCAGGTTCGGTACGACTGGACCCTCCAAACCTACATAGCGGTGTCTCCAATCACCTGCTGAGAAGGTACTTGGATCCCTAGGGGATGTTTTCAGATGTCTTTTTCAAGAGCCCAGTTCTGGTCTCGGAGGGACTCACGGGAAGGGCGACGGGGGCGAGGTCTTGACGAGGGAGCTGGAGCAGTGATGTCCCTGTAAGACTAATACAGGTACCCCAGACACGACGAATGGGACTGCCATAGGACTGCCGCCCCAGACAGACCCCCCTGTCAACCACCCCTGGCCGTTTCTCGGCAGTCTGGACTGGCAGTCCCAGACGGGTCGTGTCTGGGTACCATGAACCGGCTGTCAGATGCGGGAAAAAACCATCACGGCATGGCGTGGCACGTCGTCGCCCCATGTGGCACGGAAGAGCTCGGTTGACAGCTCGGTTGTAATTAGAGGGATCTGATCTGTGGGGATCTGTGATTTTTTTGACCCGGGGGCAACCAGGGTGCCCGGGCTTTGACCCACGGCCATAGATTGGATCCTAATGGTTCTTCATGGTTCTTCACTTGGGGATATCCTTTGTATTGGTCAACCCACGGCCGTAGGCAATCGGGCTGCCCTTTCAGGCCATCTGAAGTACAGGCTGAGCAACACAAGAAAAAGATCAATCCCAAACTTTCTCACTCTCTCTCTCTCTCTGTCTGCGTATATATATATATATGCCATAGCTATAGACTTCAAAGACCATCGAACATATATGCATGTATAGATTTATATACTGGTTTTGTAGTACCCAGGTTCTTTGGGAAGAAAAACTATATATATATATATACAATGGTTGTTGGAATCGCATGGTATATACCTGGACCCTGAAACGATGTCTTTTTTCGTCTCGCCAGAAAACATGACGCAAAAACATGCAGCAAATTCGCGATAGAAAACATGACGCCAAAATGACGCAGAAGTGACAAAAAAACAACGCAGAAGTGACAAAAATCGACACCAAAACTGTTTGTTGTGTGGGTTTTTTGAGCTTCGCCTGAAAATTGCCCTCACCAGAAAAAAATACGTCTTTTGCGGGGTCCAGGTATGTATATATATAATGTCTACATTGACCCTCAAACCACCTCCAATGTAGGAATATGATGTATACAGGGAGTGTCTGGGAATGTGTCGAGATTGTTTCATGAAGACCTACATCTATACCACAATCAGCTAGCCGTCCCACGGATCACTGCGCGAAGCCTGAAGTGGTCCGAACCTCGACGAGTTTCGGCGGATGCATTTTCCTCGATCAGACATGTGGGGAGCAGCTGCTGTGGCTATCCATCACAAGGCCCGCAAATGATCCCACCAATCGCAATGTCGGGCCCCCCAAGGACGGGTTTGGGGCGACCGAGTGGGTTTGCTTTCGGGTCTGCCGCTGCAGCACCCCCCAGGAAGCGAGCAGGAAGAAACTGCGATCATTGGAGACCCTCCAGTTCGGAGGGTCTGGATGCTTTGGGCATATAAACTCAAACACTCCAGCAGTCACATGGAGTTGGGTGCCATCCATGGAGGGAATCGGGGTGCCCCTGTCACATCCACTCACGTAAGGGGACTAAACACAACCCCGACATGTGACTCCTGGCTTTTGAACTGACCTTGATTCCCGCTCTAAACTGATGGCCATCTCCTCTTACTATAGAGAGAAAGGGTGAAACACCCGTCTTGCCCGTCTTGCACCCCCGACTTCTCCCTGTCAAGTCTCTTCTTCAAGGACTGCGAGGTCATGATGTAGCGTTGAGGAGACCAATCTCAGTGGAGATTCGCTAGTCAGTCGTGGACGCGCCCAGGGAAACAGAAACACTTCTTGGTGGGATCTGCGCCCAGGGAAACAGTGGGGCTGACTGGCACTGTTCACCCCAAATCCTGTAACTAGATGTTTCTTCTGCGTCAGAAACATCCCCTCCATCATATTTATCCTACCCTAAGAATCATTGGACCCTCCTATGGAGGGTTTGGACCCTGCATAGCAGGGGTTTGGACCCTCAACACCTTCACCTTTGAGGGTCCTTGATTCTTAGGGTACGTACTATAGAATTCCTGGATTTCAGTTGTGGAAGAAACCACCCTCTGACCCTCTGTCTACAATAATAATTGATTTCCAGGCACTGTAACTACAACAAACCTATGCGTTTGCCTCGCCATCCGTTGTTGAATGTCACAACGCTGGAAGTAGCGACTGTTGCAGTGAGAAGTGGGTGGATGGCCAGAAAAGCGCGTTACCAATGCTCTATCCCTAGGGATCCAGTCGTACCTTCTCAGCAGGTGATTGGAGACACCGCTATGTAGGTGCCAGGAGGGTCCAAGTACCTTCTGAGAAGGTACGACTGGATCCCTATAGGGTCTATTTAACACAAATTGGCCCCCGAAAACCGGACACTGCACTGGCGACCAGCCCTGGATACGAAAGACCCCCCCAAAACACGTGCTTTTTGGCGCGTCGTGTCTCGAGATCAAAACGATGAACGAGCTGGACCGATATTCTGAAGAGCACGGAAGTTGGACATCTCTGAGTTCCTCAGCTTGAACATGTTATCCTCCTTTTCCACCTGTTTGCTGAGTGGGGAGAACATCAAAAACTCCCCTCCAAAGATTGGTGGGCAATCCACGGTCGTTTATGGAGAATAGGTCGTTTGGGACGTCTGTCTTCATCGCAAAAAGAACTCAAAGAACTGCGGTCGTTTGGAGTCCCTCTCTTCACCAGTTCCGGTCGTCGCAGGCTCACCTCTTTGGAGTCTATGGTGATCTGCACACGCCACACGAGAAAGCGCCACCCGGGCCATGCCCTGCGATACCGATGCGTCTGGCCTTCTTCCATGCCGATGCCCGTCATCTGCCAGGCGTCACGCTTCAAGAAGACCTGGCTCTTCCGTGCTGAAAGTAGGTGCTGAAAGTAGTGCCAATGGATCCAGACATGGATAGAAGAAGTAGGACTGACAGGTGAGACTTAATTCAGATATTATATGATTTCAGTGACCAGCAATTGATGAGTTTATATAATATGTTGATCATCCATGATCATCCTGGTTCTTCTGTTCGTGACCGAACGAACGGTCCCCAGGTTTGGGTTGCTTCGGTGACAAACTGGCCGAGGTTGTCGTGACGACTGTGCTAGCCTAGCATAGGGAACTTTGGATTCCGTCACGTACTGAAGAAGCTGTGTCCCAGAAGCAAACACGCGAAGTAATTCACCGTCCTTGACCCATGTGTGGGAAGCACCTTGGTATTGCATGACATTGTGGAATGGCGAGAACAAACCGTCGAGAGCACTTCTGGAGCGTAGGCCTTAATGACTGTTGACCCCATGGTCAATGATGTCCTTTTGGCAAGAATAGAATAGAGTCGATGTCAGGTACCATACGCCAATTACTTGTCCACTTGGGGGTATCCCCTCTATGATTCAGTCATCTATATGCAGTATATGGTTAACCTACAGGCTCCGCTCCAGGTTCCCCTTTTCTCTTCGGAGGGAGCCAAACGGAGGTTTTCATACAAACCGAAACCAAAGGTCTTCACTGCCCAAACGCCCCGAGGGTCTGGGGTTTTCTCAACCAGTCGGGCGTCGTTCACGGAGCGTCTGGGTGCGAAGCTGACATGAAAAAAAGAGCCTGGACCCTGCACCTTAGAAAATGGCATAGAAATAGGTACGACTGGGGCGCCATGGACTCGGAATTCCGAGGTACGAGTTCCGGGTCGACTCCAGGTAGGATTCATAAAATCCTTCCAGCACAATGGTCTATTTCGAAGCCTATAGGGGGTGACTCTCGATGAGGTCAAAAACTGTCAAGTGCTGACATGTGCTGACACACCAACATGATGCAGTGTGGCGAAGAAACTGGAACTGATCTTCTTGTTATGCCAATCAAGCTGGGGTAACCAAATTAACGCACTTTCTCCGTCCGCTAGCTTGGGTTGACTGCCTCACAACTATAGGACATAATCGTCGTAAGACCAGCTTGCCAAACAAAAAAAAAACAAATTACATTCTTTTACATGCTGAATTCGATCACATGTAATACATCCCTAGGGATCCAGTCGTGCCTTCTCAGACTGGACCCTCCTGGCACCTACATAGCGGTGTCGAACACATCACCTGCTGACAAGGTACTTGGATCCCTAGCGAATATAAGGAACCAGGGATACCGGGATACATGTATGTCCACGATTCAAACCGAGTTCCAACGAATCCGACCTTCGAAAAGGGGCGCGGTTCGGTCGCCGGTCGCAGGTCCGACCGACCAGTCCATCCGTGACCCGAACTCAAATCAGGTACCATCCCATTGAACCCGAGGGTACGAACTGGGACGTACCAATCACCCCAGACCTTGGATCAGGTACCATCCCGCTGCCGCAGCCGAACACCGAGCCGTCCCACGCGGTGGCGAGGCCTTGTTCTCCAGGGTGCTCTTCGGGGTCTCCACCTCCGCGACTGGAGACCAGTGGAGACCGGAGAGAGAGAGTGGACAAGTGCGACTGGTGGAGGAGGGCATTGGCATCTACGAGGGGTGGAGGGGAGAATCTAGGGGTAGGTTTAGGGGAAGTCATGAAGGGAAGTCTACAGTACTACAGTGGAGCACCTTGATGCACATATCAAATATCGCAGAATATCGCTCTATCTTTGACCTACACCGTTTAGTACTAAACTGACCCCCAAAACCTTCTGTTTTGGCCACTGGCTTCAGCAATTTGAGACCATGATTGAGCCAAAACCATCTTGAACAGGCGTAGTTCGTCGCTACTAGGCCTCCGTTCGGCCAGACCCGCTGACTAGGTGACCTCGGCCGGACCCGCAGCAGTTGCCCCTCCCGTTTCGACCCCGAGGCCTCAGTCCCTTCGCTCCGATAGTTCCTGGTTCCAGGCGTGACGTCGAATAGAGAGAGGTGACATCTGCTCGACCGAAATCATAGGACATACCTAGACCCTCCTCCTTACGGGACCTGAAGAACATGGGACGTGACCCGAACTCAACGAAAGGTACTACCCATTGAATCCGAGGGTACGAACTGGGACTCCAGGTATATTGACCGTTCGAGCCTGACCGACCTCTGTTTTGGAAGTTTGACCATATTTTGGATAGTGGATCCTCCAAAACAGGGGTCACTCTCCGGCTCCAGGGATGTATGGACAACAGGGAAAAACCAGCCCAAGACTTGCAAGGCGAATGTTGGGAATGACCTGGTTTTGTCAAGGCCTCTTTCTGAAACAACGGTGCTTCGGGATGACCAGCCTAATCCGGTGGGCCAGGAAGCGGAGATTTGAGGAGCTGAGTCCGCGTAAGACGCGTCCACAGGCATCCACGAGGGCGGAAGACAAGAAGAGGTGGGGAGAAAAACAGGCTTTGCCCGAGCCTTGGGCTCCAGTCGTACCGTGACTGGGGTTCAGTCATACCTTCAGTCAGCACGGAATCACACTCATGCCGCCTGGTAGTAGTTGAGATTCTAAAGCAAGTGGGAGCATAGGCACATGCGCACACCTATGTGTCAATCCCTTCAATCTACTCACCAGCTGAGTCCCATTTTTTTTCTGCAACCAATAAGTCTTTCCCTGAGTTTTTTTCTTCCCCAGGTACGGGCTTGTCCACCTGAAGTCCGGCAGGCCCGAAAACGCGGGTCTCTTTTCATCTTTCTGGTCACCTAGACGCTACCTGCAGTCGACCCGGAACTCGTGCCTGCCCGAGAACCCCCAGTCGTAGCTGATCGTTGTTCGGGTCATTGTCCCATCTTCGAAGGAACGAACATCGGGTTCAGGTGAAGCAGAATGTAAGAATGGTCTCATTGCAGAAAAACAGCAGCACTAAGGAACAGCTCTTCCCTCATATCGGGATGTCCCTAAAAAGATTCCCAAAGGTCATGACATGCAGGTGATCGGCCTTCCACTGGTCCACATTCTGACTTCATGTGTACCTCACCTGACCGAACCAACCGGCCCGGCCGGGCCAGCTGCATGTATCGGGGCCTCATGTTGAAGTTAATGACCTGGAGTAGAACATGGGGCCCAAGTAAGCTAGTATACCCTAGGGCTTCTGGCCCATACCCTCAGGTTCGGTGGTGTTCGACCCCCCTGGCACCCACCCCAGTCCCATCTTTTCAGGAGGTAGTTGGAGCCCAAGTAAGCTAGTTTTGGTTGTTCGAGTCAGGTCACGTGTCTTTTTGGAGCGAAGTCGACTCGACTCTGTCGTCACGTTCCGCCGAACGAAGCATCCGATCGAAGCACTTCCGTTTTTCAGATCCAGGGCATTGAGGCCCAGGGCATTGAGCTTTGGATCTCTCCCTGGTGGCAAGGATATACTATGACCACAATGACCTGGCCCAAATGCAACCTGGAACCCAAATCCGTTGCAATCGATCCCTCTCCTCGGGTCTTCTGCGTGGAGGGACCGACCGAGGGGCGGCAGGTTGGAGGCCATCGCTAGTAGGTTGGAGGCCATTGCTTCTGGGTTGGAGGCCTTGCCAGTAGGTTGAAGGCCAGTAATAGTATGGGTTGGAGGCCATTGCTAGCAGGTTGGAGGCACAGCTAGTAAGGGCTGTTTTCACGGAGCGTCTGGGGTCTCGCCCGTATTTCACGGCGCCTCCCACCCTGCGAGGTCTCCGAGCTGAAAGCAACCACCTGTTTTTCTGCGCGTGGGTGACGCGGAGGGGAGGGGAAAGAAGTGGCCAAAGAAGTTCTGTTTCAGCGGCTGTTTCAGAATTCTGGCAAGTGAGGCCATGACTTTGTTAATGAATGTTAATATGTCATAGCCGGCTAGAGGTTTTGGATGGTTTTGGCTTGTGGTTTCCAAGTGCTTTTGGATTGAAAATTTTCAGAATGCCCCCCGCGTGTTGCCGGTGAGTCCTGCTGTCCAGAAAAACATACTGGCAAGGAGGAAGCACTGCTGATCCTGGCATACCAGAACATACTGCAAAGGTGCTCGGCAACCTCATGTGGTGAACCAGTGAACCTATATCTCCTATGACCAAACAACATCAACATCCACCTCTTCAATTGAGCGCCGATGCTCTCCAATACAGCGTTTTCCTGTTCTCACTTGGAATCTCCCTCTGACATGGAACCTAGAGGGTTGCCAGAAAACAGTTGCCAGATCCTTGGTGTGAGCTCTCTGATTGAAGAAATATGAAGATTATGAAGAACTCTTCGATCTTTCTCACCCATTTCTATGCCATGAGTCAAAAAAAAACTGATCTTCGAGCAATGGTTCTGCGGTTGTGGCAGTGGGCCATCAATGGCGCGACGGCATCACCGTGAATTCAGCCCTGTATCATGGGCTGAGAACTGCGGCTCCCAGAAAACGGGAAAACAAAAAAGATTCCCCAGATTGGGGCCCGATTTTCCCCCAGTTCAGGAAACCAAACAAGCAAAACCAGATCTTTGAGAGCACAGAATTGCTGCTTCATACTTGCGAAACGTAAGCGGTAGGGTACCGTCCTCCGCTAGCCCAGTCAGCTACTCGCAGCCTTCACCTTTCGTTTATCTTCTTCTTCTTCAGCCTTTTCTGCATCAATCTGGCGAGGGTGCGATCGATGTTTGTTTCGAGATGATCCGTGTGTGCATTGTTCGAGCAGTATTTGTTGGTACCTTTCTTCGACTGGGTCGACTGGTCTGTTGTCTGAACTCGGGGGAGGCTCGTGTGAGCGAACACATGGTTAAGTTTGTAGAATTCACCAAGTACAGCGGAAGTCCAAATATTCCAATCCGCAAGTTGACGATGTCATTTCCGACGTCCCTTCTACTAAATGTCACACACACATTGATCGAAAGTAATGATCGGTTTTTGAGAACTGGGAGTTATCTAACGTTGCCCTAGACTTGCAAGACCATTATAAGAATGGTTGACCTGGCCCTGCAGTGCAACATCCTTACTCAAACAATGGTGGTTCTGTAAAGCCTAACGTTGTGTTGATTCTTGAGGGAATGGACCATACCTTTTCAAGTTGGATCTGAAAAAAAAAAGACTCCTCAGTCAGCCAATCTAACAATCTTTGTCGTGGAGAACCATCCTACGGCTCAGCCAGAGAACGCCCACGGTGAGCCACAAAATCACTGTTGAGCAGGATTGAAAAAGGAAAACAACATAGAAAGACTGCAAAGGAACAAATAACATCTATATATACTACTACTATTTAGATGGCTTGGGAGCAATCTAGTGAACAGGGATGCAAAAAAGTCATATTGCAACCGTCCAACTGCATCAACAGGCCAACAGGCTAATTGGGGAGAAACCACGCGGTCCGAGGCCTCCCCCCCAAACGCTCCGGGACACCACCGGCGCCTGCACGGTCTTCTTCTCAGCCTGCGACGACGTCGATGGCGTCCGAAGTTTCAAGGCCCGTTTTCGCTCGAACGACGCCCAACCGGTCCCTCAAAACCGAAGGTCTTGAGACCCCAAAGCCCTCCGGATTCGGGTCCGAGCCCTCCAGAGGATTCGGGTCCAGGGTCGCGTCTGGGTGGAAGATGAATCCCAAACAACGCGTGCATGCCCTAGGGAGCCGCGAACTTCGTACCGAGTCCCCTCAGAAGCTACGAAAAACGGACCCGACTGGCACCGTCTTATGACTCAGTGTCTCCTGGCACCTTCACCTGTCTCGGTTCGGGATGGGTGTGAAACATGGTCACTTTCGCCGGGAAGTCGAGTTGCTGGTGGATATGTGGAACGCGTCTTCCGTCGAAAAACATGGTCCACCGTTGCTTGGAGGAGCGGGCGCTCCAAGCAAGACGTCACTGCAACAGGGCGTCTAGCTTCGTCGTCTTCTGCAAATCCATTGGATTTCCGCAATCATACGTAGAAATTGAATCCTGAATATCTACGGCCATTTCATGCCATTTCCATCAATCGAGCACTATATTCAGAAATTCCCTTGAACTCTTCCTGAAACCAGGATACATTCGCATAAAAAAAAAAGAAAGGGCTGGGACGACCGTCTGACAACCTGGACCCCACTTCAAGTATCAGAACATGGGACATGACCGAAAAAATACAGGACGACCGTCTCCCGATGTCTCGGTCGGGACGAGTGGACCCTCCACTCCGACTCGACTCGTGGCGACTCAACTCCGTTGTGTATGCGTGTTTCGAATTGGACGTCAAGACACCGGCGAGCCCAGAATCGCCCTGCCTCCAAGGGCAGCACCGTGGGCAAAACCTTGCAACGTTGTGGCGCAAGCAGAAGCAAGGATTCTCAGCCAAAAGCAGGAAGGGGTAATATGTAGTCGAAGGTCTCCATATATATAATACAATACCATGCATACTGTAAATATACTGTAAAATATGTGTATATATATGTACCTAGAACTTCTTCTTGGGCTGAAATTCTTGCCTAAGGAGGGTATATAGGTATTACTATTAGGTGTTCGGTATATTTCCATAGCATGTTGGCAGAAGTATTGGTGAAAGGAACCAAGGCTGGAGTTTAAGCACTTTTCGGGTGAAGAAGTTGGTAAAGTGCTTCTCTGTGTGTTTAGGACACATGAGATCGTTGTGCAATTCAATGGGAGTAATCCTTTGCCTTTGACCGGTTTGTACTTGGACGTCCGTTTGTTACGACGTTTGGGGCCCCATGGATCGTCAGCTACGAGTTCCGGGTTGTGAAACGAGGTCGATGGCCACGTGCGACCACACAAGATGCAGAAACCCCTTGGAAAGCTGGGAAACACGGTGGACCCTTCTGATGGATTGGACCCTTCTCCTTCAAGATCCAGTACCTTTGCTAAAGGTGCGATGTAGCTATACGCATAGCTATGCGCAAGCTGCTTGGTGTCTAGAAAGCCAAGAGCATCTTCTTGAAAAGCAAAAGGACAGGTATCACAAATTCCATCCCCGTTTGTGCCTCTCAAGTGTCTCTGGAGTTTCTTGACTCCAGGCCGTTTTGAAGAAGCCGTTTTGGTGTCTCCCATGACCAACGGTGGATTATAGAATATAAATATAGCTGCAATGTTTCTATAATTGAAGTAACTACAATGATAATAAACTTAGCAAAGGACTCCTCCAAAAATCATCAACATATTTCACCGAGTCTTACTGCTAGTGGAACCCACCACTAGCAGTAGAATAGACTGATATAAAACTATAACAGACATGAACAAACAAAAGCACACAAAAGACAAACAAAAAAAGAGAACGTGGTGTTTGCCGCTCGAAGGACTCGCCGCGGCCTCACCGCCTAAGCGATCCATCCATCCAGCCCAGGCCGCATGAACGCCCCGGTGCCGTCGAGCCGCCTGGGATCCAATCACGCCTTGGGAGAGAAAGTCCGGCCGCGCGTGTCACGTGCGTGGCGCCCAGGTCACGGCTGTGGAGCCCATATGCCATATGGGGTCGATCCGATAGTCTATCCAGGGCCCAGTGGAGGATGGTTCCAAAATTGATGTTCTTAGTGGATCCGGACTGCCGTGGATGTTGGGGAATCGAACCTTTGGCTCTTCTGCGATTGAAGATCGGATGCTTTACAACAACACGGTCGCAAAACTGGCTGCCCTAAGAATCATTGGACCCTCCGAACTGGAGGGTGACCGGACCCTGCAGAACGCAGGGCTTTGGACCCGAACCAAACCTTCACCGAACTGAGGGTCCTTGATTCTTAGGGTGAACAAAATTGAGCCCGTTGAAACAACCACCTCTTCCTTGCACTTGTTGAAACAACCACCGACACTCTGATTGTTCAATGATCGAGCTTCGTTACAGGTCGAAGAAGCGATACTAGGAAACCATCACACGGCTGCCAAACTTACTATAATCAAACCCTTGACTTAAGTAAAAACATGTAAAAATACTATGGAGATGAAAAACCATTCTAGAAGTGTTTTGTTGAAGTAATCAACAATATATATTGAAGTTTACTCGTCAACAGTCGCGAAGTAAACCTCTCACTTGCCCCCACTCACTAGTGGCATCCAATGACTCGTCAGTGGCGCACCGTCGACCTCCAGTCGAAACCGTCAGCCAGACCGTTGACCTCCATCTCGTTCCTTCGTCTGAACGCGCCCAAACCAATTCCAGCTGCATTCTTCCAGTTGAGCTGAATCCAAGGGTGCCTGCGCAAAAGCGTTCAAGACTGCAAAAACAGGAGCAAGAACACGAGAGACAAACACATCGACCACATTCAAACACTGACCCAACGTCCGGTGCCGAAGAAAGAAGGAAGTTCGATGCTTCGTTCTCCAAAGCAATCTCGATCGGTGGGAGAGTTTCAGAAGCAAAACCACTGGGATTGAAAAAACTGTGTTTTGATGGACCAAAAGAACCATTAGACCATTTACCAAAGGATTTTGGACTACAAACCCAGGTCAACCATTCTTTTGATGGTTCAAAGATTCCCCCAAACACGAGCTGTCAGGGACTGGGTTCGTTTCGATTCCGCCGGTCTTTCAAACCCCACACGGTCCACCATGTCGTGAGAGGCTCGACAGGCTCGCTCGTGAAACGGGACAAACCCTAAGGCGGTCCAGCTCAGCATCGAGCCGGCTTCCCAGTCCCAGTGATCCAAGAGTCCCATGTTTTTTCGGTACAAACTGAGACTCTCACTCAACATTGTCTACGTAAGCTTTTCCTCGCTCTCCCGCGGGGCTAGCGACTAAACGAGAACCCAAGCATCGGAGATGCTTTTGGAAAAAATGGAAGGATGGTATATGTGTGCTAGTCTGGATGTTCAGACTATGTGCATTCAAAAAGTAACACCCACAAGGGGCTTGCTTGCTGCAATACACATGAAAACAGCTGAACATGTATACTGTAAATGCAGTTGACGTATTGGGGGGGAAGTCTATACATTTGTAAGGGGTGGGTCTACTCCAGGTATATGTGTGAGCTTGGAATATACAAGGTTGTGTTTGCTCTGAGACAGTCTGTGCGCAAGCTTCGGTCAAGCCTGGGATTTGTGCTTTGCTGGTGAGTTTCATCAAAAATGAGAAGTGTACAATGCATAATTATAGGATAGAGTGTTTCTTGGATAAGTCTGTATGTAGGTGTCTGTTATTGCTTTGAATGTATTCATCTTAATTAGTTTGTTCCTTTGTTAAATGTATCTCTATGAATATTCTATGAATCTTTACTTCTTGACCTCTTCTTTACAACTTCACTGTTGAGTTGTTCACAAGCTGTTCCTGTTCTCAAGAAGCTTCTCTTACACACAAGCAAATGCATTGTTCTTACTTGGTTTCTTCTATGATTAGACTGTGAGAAGCAAACATGCAAAGGAAATACAACAAAAGGAGCTAAAACAGAAACAAATGGATTGGTCGGCCACTATTATTGCTATATATATATATATGTCGTAAGGTATCGGTCTTTAATTTCAGTTATCATTTTGCTTAAACAGTGGCTCTTCCCTTCTTGGATAAGTTGTGGAATTGTAGTAGAATTGTAGATGCAAAGTTTGCAGAGCATAGATGTTTTAGACAAGAAGTTCCAAAGTTGCGATCCTAACAAAGGAGCAACTTGTCTGAATCTTGATGAGCTTCCTTGAATGGAGGACACTGTGCTCATATAGTATTATACGCATTGATACGGTCAAGTCTTATCAAACATGAAATTGCACAAAGAGGATCAACAAATAATATCTCTGTATGATGGAGGAGGGTTTTGGATAAGAATGCGTCTATGTATATAATATATATATATAGATAGGCGTAGGTTCCACAAAGCATGGTTTGTTTCCAAGAAGGCACTTTCAAACATACCTTGTGAACAAGAATATCCAATTGTTTGAAAGAAGCACACCCTTTTACAGGAACGAAAGGAAGGATATTGTTTCAACACACCAATCCTCAAACTATCTCAAACGTGTTGCATATTTTAGGCTGGGTTTGCTGTATCTAAATATGTTTTAAAGGAACACGCCAAGACTTTACGCATATCAACCAGCGATCAAACATAGCATCGCGCTACAAAACTGCACCCTCCGTGTCCGCGTCCATGTCGGGCTGAACGCACCGAAGTTGTCGGGTACTCGGTCCACGAACGAACGGCCAATGGGCCGCCCTGTGGGAGGATCCACTTGGCGAGGGAAAAGCGAGGATCATGGATCTTGAGTGAAGCTCAGTTGGTCCCCCATGTGTTTTTTGAGAGGGTGCTTGAAGACATGTTTCTTCCCAAACTTGTTGGGTTCTCTCTGGGTTGTGCTGGGTTGGTTGCATCGCCTCTTTTCTCGCTGTCACAGTTTCCCTGGAACAGACTTTGGTGTGAAGAACGCACATTCCACCAGACTTTGGTCCCCGTCTGAACACAGCAATACCACCTGATTCTGAAGGTGGCCCACCTAGTTCCTGCGCATGACCCTGCCAACCTGCCAACCAAAACACACAAAAAAAACACGACACGACACGGTCCGGTCCACCGGCGGCCTCGCAGGTCAACGCCAAAACGTCGTCCTCACGACGTTCAGAGGGCACGTCGTCCTCATCGAACCTGGGACGGCGGGTCTCGGTGGAGCGGGTCTCTCCGGTGGGACGCGGTGAGGCGTGTTGCCTGGTGGATGGTGGGAGGGTCTCTCCCAGGTGCTTCATCCAGTCAACGACCCTTTTGGGAAAACATCATCAAAGCCGATGTGGAATGGTCAAAAGGCTGCGTGTTCCAATCTGAATGGCTGATGGTCCTCCCCAAACCAAAACCCCCTCAAACAGTCCGGTGGTTTCGTGGGGAAGTCTGGGAGGATTTCTCTGGGTGAAGAGGACATGAACAGCTCGAAACCCACCAACAAAAAAGACCTCCAACCGATTCCGGTGCTGTAGAGGCCCAGGTGAAACCAAACCATGGGGCAGCTTTCAAGTACATGGAGTTGACACGTGGAAGTACCTCAGAAATTGGATGTTCAAAATATTACAAGATGATACAAGTACCAAGGATGGTACTGCACCTGCAGTTTTCTTCGAGTCATGTCCCCTTTTTGAGAATGACGAACGAAGTCAGGTCTTTTCTACTTACATTGATCCCTCCTTCAACCACCTCCATGTTGGTACATGATACCCGTTTTCCTTGAGGGGGGGTCGTGTTAGTTTGGGCATGGAACATCAAGACCTGACTCAAGGGCGCAATTGGAAGGAACATCAAGCTTAAGGCTTACGGTGTTCGAAGGAACCGAACCCACCCGTGTTTTCGATTCGTCCCCGAAGCACTGGGGGTAGAATGCACGTGATCTTCCGCGTACCTGTTCCAAGGGTATGAGACGCACAGCACATGGATGGTTTGGTTCGGAAGTTCGGAGGTCCACGAAAACACCATTTGGATCCTTCACCCTGAGGTCTTCAATCCTTTGGAGTCCTGATTCCCTAGGGATCCAGTCGTACCTTCTCAGGTTTGGTACGACTGGACCCGACAACGGCACCTGCATAACAGTGTCTCCATTCAACTTCTGAGAAAATCTGAGAAAGTACTTGGATCCCCCAAAAAAAGGCCAAGCGAGAAGGGGGTGTCTTGCCGAACACATCCAAACATCGCAGTCGGTCTCGTCTTCGTACTTCTCCTGATATCCCCACATGCTATGTTCCACACAAAGGAGTCGAAGTTCCCAAGAGTCAACTGCCAAATTCCCAAAATCAACGGCAAATCCTTATGGTCTGTGTCTGTGTCACCCGAGGAATACGCTCCCGTGAAAAGATCCGTCTCCATCTCACATCAACACCTCCCGTTCGCACGAGTCGACGACGAACGAGTCCAAACAACAACAACAACAACAGCAAAAACAACAAAAACAACAAAAAGAACAAAACAACAAAAACAAAAACAAAAACAAACAAAAAAACAAACAAACAAACCAAAAAACAAACAAACAAACAAGGTACAAACAAAAACTGCAGCCCCGTTACAACATATCTTGTTCCTTTGTGTCTACAAGGGGGTGGAAACAAAATCTGCAGCCCCGTCGTTGTTATTTTTACTCCCCCCAAAAACAACCAGCCAACATGTACTCTTACCAGTAGTGCTAGTGCTTGTACTAGTGCTAGTACTAGCGGCACTAGTACTAGTTGTAGTCGTTGTTGTGGTAGTCGTAGAAGGAGGAGTAGTAGTAGTAGTAGTAGTAGTATTAGTAGTAGTAGTAGTGGTAGTGGTGGTAGTAGTAGTAGTAGCGTCGTCGTCGTCGTCATAGTAGTAGTCGTAGTAGTATTCGTAGTAGTATTCGTACTAGTAGTAGTAGTAGTCGTCGTCGTAGTAGTAGCAGTAGTAGAAGTAGTAGAAGTAGTAGTAGTGGTAGTGGTAGTGGTAGTGGCAGTGGCAGTGGCAGTGGTAGTAGTAGGAGTAGTAGTAGTAGTATAGTAGTGGTCGTAGTAGTAGTCGTCGTCGTCGTCCGGTCAGCTAAGCTTCTGTAAAACTTCTACTACTACTTAGAACCTCTACCACACCCTAGAGACAAAAACTGCAGCCCCGTTGTTGTTTTTTTATGTTTTTTGGGACCCCCCCTCAAAACATGTTGTTGTCTCTCCCCCCCCAAAGAAACAAAATCTGCAGCCCCGCTGTTGTTTTTGACCCCACCAGAACAACACCCCCAAAAACAGCAAAAAAACAAGAAGCAGACCAACCAAGACTTGAGTACCGCAACGACAAGAAGTCCAGCTACTAACATCTCTCCAAACCTTCGACCCTATCCCTAACAGTGTCCAATTGAAATCCCTGACTTGCAACACGTGACAGCTATGTTGGGCAGCTGTTGTTGTCTCTACCAACAACAACAACAACCACAACCACAACCACAACGACAACGACAACAACAACAAACCAAGAAAACAAGCAACCAACAAAAAAAACAATCACCCAACAAAACAACCACCCAACAAAACCACCAACCAACAAAACAACCAACCAACAAAACAACAAACCAACAAACCAACAAAAAAAAACAAAACACCCAGTCAACCAACCAACCAACCAAGCAACCAACCAACCAAGCAAGCAACCAACCAACGTAACCAACCAACCCACCCAACCACCCAACCGCCCAACCACCCAACCACCCAACCACCCAACCCACCCAGCCACCCAGCCAACCAACCAACCAACCACCCCACCACCCA